GAAAGAGGCTCGTTCTCTCAGTACTGAACTGTTCAAGATGAAGAACTCCTATGAGGAAACTCTGGACCACCTGGAGACCATGAAGAGAGAGAACAAGAACCTGCAGCGTATGTTTCAATATTGATTCTGATAGATTAAATCTCCATTAATATTACATTAATTATGCCCTATTACTGAACCTTATTAATTAGATTCATTTTCTTCCATAATAATACCTATTTATTTACTATTCAGAGGAGATCTCAGACCTGACTGAACAAATCGGTGAGACTGGAAAGACCATCCATGAGCTTGAGAAGGCCAAGAAGTCAGTAGAGACAGAAAAGTCAGAAATCCAGACTGCTCTAGAGGAAGCTGAGGTAATTACACCCAGGGGGGGCATAAAGGTGTGTGGGGGGGAGTTACACCCATTCCTAGGGCCCCTGGCTGACCAGGTCCCTAAAAATTTTCAAACATAATTGGATTGGTCTGGGTTGGGGGCCCAATACAATACGCTTTATGGGCACAAAATCTCCAGCAGTATCCTGATCAAACCCATAATACAGCAACACCACAAAAAATAATGCTTGGGTACATTGGGCATTACATGCATCTTTTTATCATTTATTTTCACAGGGTACACTGGAGCATGAGGAGTCCAAGATTCTACGTGTCCAGCTGGAGCTCAACCAGGTCAAGGGTGAAATTGACAGGAAGCTGGCTGAGAAAGATGAGGAGATGGAGCAGATCAAGAGGAACAGCCAGAGGGTCATTGATTCCATGCAGACCACTTTGGATGCAGAAGTCAGGAGCAGAAATGATGCTCTGAGGGTCAAGAAGAAGATGGAGGGAGACCTCAATGAAATGGAGATTCAGCTCAGCCACGCCAACCGTCAGGCTGCAGAGTCCCAGAAACAACTGAGAAATGTCCAGGGACAGCTTAAGGTATGTATACAGTTATCCTGACAATAAAAGGGAAGAGTGTATCTCTCAATAAGAAGATAATGGAAGTCATGTTATTCTACAGGATGCCCAACTGCACCTTGATGAAGCCGTTAGGGGACAGGAGGACATGAAGGAGCAGGTTGTCATGGTAGAGCGCAGGAACACTCTGATGCTGGCTGAGATTGAGGAGCTGAGGGCTGCTCTGGAGCAGACAGAGAGAGGCCGCAAAGTGGCCGAGCAGGAGCTGGTCGATGCCAGTGAGCGTGTTGGACTGCTGCACTCCCAGGTATGTTTAAAATATCAAAAGTTATGTATGATCTCCCTGGAGTCATTGCTGCAATTGAATGTATTTGTTATAATATTGAAAATACATCAATGTCTTTCAGAACACCAGCCTGATTAACACCAAGAAGAAGCTTGAAGGTGATCTTGTTCAGGTCCAGGGTGAGGTGGACGATGCCATTCAGGAAGCCAGAAATGCAGAGGAGAAGGCCAAGAAGGCCATTACTGATGTGAGTCATGTATTAAAACAAAAATTATTTTGAGATCGTACTGATCTCAAAGTAGAATATCCAGGACCAACATCATTCGTATAAACAACAATTGTGAATGGACCTTTCAGGCTGCCATGATGGCAGAGGAGCTGAAGAAGGAGCAGGACACCAGCGCCCACCTGGAGAGGATGAAGAAGAACCTTGAGGTCACAGTGAAGGACCTGCAGCACCGTCTGGATGAAGCTGAGAGCCTGGCCATGAAGGGTGGAAAGAAACAGCTACAGAAACTGGAAGCCAGGGTGAGCAGTACAACTGATAAACTGCGCTTATCAGAAGGCTACTAATCTTTTATCATTTGGTAACTTTAAAGTGAAAAAAATGGATGGACTTACATTATCCATATTTTGCATATTATTAGCATATTACTGCCTTACCATTTGACAAATGTTTGAGAAAGCCAGAGGAAAAAAATCTAAATTTTTACATTTAAGGTACGTGAGCTGGAATCTGAGGTTGAAGCTGAACAGAGACGTGGAGCCGATGCTGTTAAAGGTGTCCGAAAATACGAGAGGAGGGTGAAGGAGCTTACCTACCAGGTAGATTTTACAAAATGTTTCAATAAATGTTTATGTTAATGTTTACAGAAACATGGCAAAAATTAAAGTGAGGACTGCAGGTATCTAATAATCTATACTTACTGTAGACTGAGGAGGACAAGAAGAATGTGAACAGACTGCAGGATCTGGTGGACAAGCTGCAGCTGAAAGTGAAGTCCTACAAGAGACAGGCTGAGGAAGCTGTAAGTATCATTTTCTATATAAGATGCTAATTTCCTAATTCCAAAGCTGAGCAATAATATGATTTCCATAAAAGTTGAATTCTGATCATATTCATGCCCTGTCAAGCCGATTCTTTTGTTTTGAGCCACGCCTATTCCGCATTTGTCTTACCTCTCGTTTCTACCATTCTGTGATTTACTACACCTGCCTCTCGTTGTGCTCCCTCGTTAGTCACTGTTATAAGTGCCTCCCAGTCCTGTACTCCCCAGTTCTGACACTGATGTTGCTATCTCTATTAGTTTAGTTGTGAGTCCCAGTTTTGAGCTTCCTTGTGTTTTCCTGCATCTTGATTTAGACTAAACCCATCTTGTTTTTGCCCTGATCCCTATTCCTGTGTCCTTGGTCCCGTCCAACACAACACTGATCATCTGATGAAATATTATGACTGTATGACCTGCATCTTGAACCAAGACATTATCTCTAAAATGTTTTATATTTTGAGTCTTTAAAGAGTAGAATTTATTTAATGTTCAGCTTGTTAGTTTTTTCTTATCCAGGCTGTCTTAAAAGATTTAAAGTTTAAAATTGTATAATTATATTAAAAGGGAAAGTTGACTCACTGATGAGGTCTTTGACTGCTGCACAGGAGGAGCAGGCCAACACTCACCTGTCCAGGTTCAGGAAGGTGCAGCATGAGATGGAGGAAGCCCAGGAGCGTGC